GGCGCCTGGGTGGCTCAGTCAGTTAAGTGTCTGACTTCGGCTCAGGTCACGATCTCGCAGTTTGCAGGTTTGAGACCCTCGCCGGGCTCTGTGCTGACGGCTCGGAGCCTGGAGCCTGCTTCGGATTCTGTGCCCCCTCTCTCTGCCCCTCTCCCCTGCTCACATGTGCGCTCTCTCCCTCCCCACCTTCTCTCTCTCAAAAATAAACATTAAAAATAAAGTAAAATAAAGTGGGGTAGAAAAACATGGAGAATCCTGCTTTGAAGTAAGGGTATATTCTAGGGCCTTCTTCAGTCTGAGGCTCAGGGTCTCCCACCGTGGGTTTTAATTTACAGCCAGGCTCTTTGAAAACTCTTTCCAAGGAGTTTTGTTCTGGAAATCCTGGCAGACTCTGGCCAGCCCCCCCCAAACACAGGTTTTAACCGTGGACTGGGTTTGTTGGAGATGCCCGGGAGGGAAGATAGGACTCGTTGAGGGGGCAGGTCTGGGGGGAGGCTAGCTGTGCAAAGGGATTCATCCCTGGACACACTCGCCAGGTGGGCAGGGCTGCCCGTGGGGGCCGCGCCCACCTCTCGTCTGGAGACATCCATGAGCACGGCAAAGCTGGTGGTGTGACTGCACTGGCAGACGACGTGGGTCCGGTTCCGGGACAGAAGTTCACAGCCCTTGGCCGACCACCCTCCGGTCCCGCCGATGCTGCAGAGGAAAGGCAGGCGTGAGACGGCTGCTTCCTCCAGGGGGTCTCCGAGGCCCAGCTGCCCCCGGGGGAGCCCGTGCGGCATCCTCACGTCGCCCGAGACAGAAGCCACGGTCACCCTCTAGGAGGACAGCAGCCCTTGGGACCGCGTGGACACTCTCCCTTCCCTCTCGTGGCGGGGGAGTGCCTCTACCCTCTGAAGTTTGTGGTTTATGCATCATCTCGCAGTAAAACTTAAATGGGGACGTCTGAGGTCACCGGACGCCCCTTTTGTCAGAAATAATAGTGGTTACAATGGCCGCTTTGTACTTCTGTCTTCTTTTGAGTCTAGGTGGTTTACGAAATAGTGTCTCACGTTCGTTTTATGCTCTCATCTGCAGATTGCACAACGTCTTACGGCAGCGCCCGGAAGCAGGGGCCGATTATTACCCCCGTTTTACTGATGGGAAACCCCAGATGACTACGGGCTGCTACAGGCGTGTCTCAGGCTCAGAGAGCGCCCTGCCCTCCCTGACTCTGGGAAAATCAAGTAAGTTCTCTGATCCTTAGTTTACTCACCTGTGAAATGGGATGTGAAGGCTAATACAAGTTTGTCAAGAGCGCTAAGATCTGGGGGTGATAGGTACCACAGAAAGCAGCCAGAGTGTAATTAGAGCTATGGCTAATTGCTGGGATTCAATCAGGCGACCATGAGAGACTGCCGTGCCTAACACATGCCAAACAGACCTTCACGCTTCCCTCGCGGTGAAAGCGGGTCCTTCTTTCTCTCTTTTGTGAGCCAAGCGTCTATTATACTCCAGACACGATGCTGGCTGCTCATTAACCAGAATTTGGGAAATCAAGGAGACACGAGGTCTCTGTGCAGCCGAGCCCGTGGCCCAGGGGGAGCCCCTTGCAGGGCTCTCCCTGGGGACCAGCTCCCAGCACAGCGCGGCTGGAGCCCTGCCTGGCGGACACCTTCTCCATCCACGTGAACCACGACGTTAGGGAATGTCCGCGAGGCGCAGAAACAAACCCCCAGATGCACAAAATTCCATCCTGGTTTCAAGCATGGAGGCGGGGGGGAGGAGGGGGGGCGG